TCTCTCTCTCTCTCTCTCTCTCTCTCTCTCTCTCTCTCTCTCTGACTCACGTATCGCGTGTGTCTCGAACAGAACGGAGCGCGTTGGTGTATACACACGGATATGAACGCGAGAGGACAGGAGCACGCGCTCGAAGCAACAACCTGTGTGCAGCGTGAATATTAGATTTCACACTTCGTGAAGATGTCGCGCTATAATAGCACGTAATAGCGCGTGCACGAAGAGGAGATAAAGCCTCACGGAAATGGTTCGCCAATCTTCACTGCATTGCCATTGTTTCGAGATACAACACATACTTGATCGAAATATATAATTGCGATAGAAGAACTTTGTAAACAAGATAGTGTGTGTTGGATGTAGCTATTTTAAGCAATTTGGAAATAAATCTCCAATCTATACTATTATATAAATATATTTGATTAAGAAGGATATACTGTTTAAAAAAAGAATCTATTCTAGAAAATTGTTAGAATTGATATTGACTATTTTCAATGGATCACATAACTGTTCAATAAACAAATTCTCTCCAAAATATATTTTCTAAAGATTTTTTTCCGCGATGTCGTTAGTAAAAATTTTGACAACATCCTGTTTAATGCAAACAAATGTCCAGAATATGTATTATGATATTTCAAAGAGAAAAAAGTGCTTTTTATTGAATTGTATAATTATATACAGTATAGAAATAAATCTAATATTCAAACAGTCATAACTTCATAAAAATAAATAGTCATAAACAAAATTTATTTGAAAGCTCTGAAATTATATTTTGAAATATTGCAAACTTTTTAATTAGAAACAAGCTTTTATTCTGTTATAAAAAACGTTTAAAAGATATTTTTTTAAAAGATATTTTAACTCTTTCATCTAAATTTACTTAAAATCTTGATTTGCTACGCCAATTCTGAAGACGGTATTGTATTCAGCGCGAAAAAATCTTTGGAAAATGTACTATCACACTTCGGAGAAAAAAAACAAGTACTTTTTTTGTAATGTGATTATTTTGTAGTGCGATTTTTTTGTAATGTGAATTCAGAAATTATAATTTGACATCAGATTCAGAATGGCTGATAAAAAACTAGAATTTCTTTATTAATATATAATTCCTATAGATTAATGTTAAACTTAAAGTAGTTCAACGGATTATTTTCTCAACAGATTAGTTTTTAATCGCTATTTTCAAGGAATATATTAGAGATTCACTTTAATATATATTACTAGGTTGCAGATTTTATAGATAGGCGCGGTTAAGTCAAGTTTTTCGAGTGAGTTGAAATCCTATTATCCTCGCGCTCGACGATCAACATGAGGCGCTGCTGGAATAAGGCGCGGTATCGAAGATACGCGAAGTTCAGCTAATTTTAGTTTAAAGCTACCATAAGCTCGACGACTGCACGTAGAGCCCTATGTAATCTCGCTGTTAATCGGTTGCGTGTATTAAATCCAAACGCCGACTGGATTAAAGTTCTAACACGTACGAAGGACTGCCATGACTTGGTGTAATTCACCGACAAAATAATGTCCAGCAAGTTCGAAATAACAAAAGCCGAAGAGTAGCACGTCAATCTTAAAAGAGCGTAACATATTGACTTATAAATATAAAATATGCTTACTTTTTAATGCAAAAAAAAAAAATAAAAGAAATACATGTCATAATTAAAAATAATAATTCTATTTAAATAATCGAATGTCTCTAAATCAATACAAATTATTTAGAAATAAATTAAATAATATATTTCTTACAAACAATAAAAAAACATTTTACATTTCCATCCTTTATTGCAGTATGGATTCGAAATCTTCGTAATATACACAATTATAAATATAAAGATCTAATAAATACTCTCGTCTCTTATATTCATTAAAGATGATACACAAATTTAAATTAAATGGAAATCTTTTGTTTAAATTTGCAGATATTTTAGATGTTTTTATCTTTTCAATTTTTATTTTAGATTACTCCCCTAAATTTTGTTTGTGGCGTTATCTTTCGAATAATGTAAACAGTAAATTCTAAAATCGATATACAAACACTGCCGGCATCTCTCTTCGCTGAGAATCCGAAGAGAATTGACTGTCGATGTTATTACTGTCTGTTGATATATCTTGAAATCATAATTTAAATATATAATATAAATAAAATTATAAATATAATACACAGTCACATACATACTACCTACCTAATCTCAATTTTAATTTAGTTATAAATTATGTCTAAAATAGTATTTTCATCTTTACCGACGAATGCTATGTTCGCAAAACATGAACTTTATTATTAATTTCCATAAAATATTGTATTGACTTTCCACATCGTTTTACTAATGCAGTTTGATGCGGATTTTAATTATCTTTTTTACTTACAATAGATTTAATTGTAGACTCAGGAAGATTATATAAATTAAATCGAAATGTTCCACATTATATATCGTCGAAAAACTAGTTACTATCCATCATGAAACTCTGAATATATAAACTAATTTTAATTTGAGATCCATTTATTTGCTCTTAATCAATCTTACTTCTATTTGATTTTTGCTTAGCATAAATTAGAACTAGAGAATAGAGATTCTAGAAAATAACAGAAGGATAATAGAATAAGTTATTTGTTGACATAATCAATATTTAATTTGTTCCTTATTGTTTTCCAATTATAAAGCAATTTATCGTGTTTCATTATCGTATTCTAAAGATAATTATATTATTATATTTTCGTTAGCATTGAAAAATATTGTAAAATCTGTTTTACAAATTAACAATATTGCTATCAACAAAATAATACAGAGCATAAATAATGCAAAAATAAATAGTAATTATATTCAAAGAAATTCATTTCTTAATTTCCTGTGTCAAATTATACTAGACATTTTTCTGTCTGTCTATAGAATTGTTATATGCAAGTGCATAATAATAATTCTGAGAAATAATAACAATAAAAGAGGAGAGAAAAGGAAAAAGAAAAATTTGAATTGCACATTTACTTCTGCGGTTTTATCCGCGAATTGTTTTATCATTTCTATAAATACATTGTTATGTAGTAAGAATTATTTACTTTGTAATAAATACATGATATAATAATTTATTGTGATGATTATGAATGTAGATACATCTTCGATGAAGCAATGTAGGTATAACACGAAGTATTATTTCAATAAAATTGTTTTGAATTATTTATCCATTTATTAATAAATTTTCCAAAATGATTAATCATCCTATTAATTTCAGTACGATGCTAAAAATTATACGATCAGTAGACTGCTTTACACTTCTTTAATCCCATTTAATAAAAAAATTCATAAAATTTATATGTAATATTAATGGCGACGATATTCAAATATATTTTTAATATTATCGCGAATAAAGTATTACATCTTAGATCCCGATTTTCATCTTTTTATTTGACATCAAGCATTTGCGACAATCTCTTCAGGATGATATCAGGAATTCGCTTTTCTGTCAGATTTGCCGTCCCGGGAAGTCGTTGATGTACTTGAGCTTTCTCCGCTAGATTATTCCTCTCTGTGGCTGGCAGATTATACGACTCTATGGCGAATAAGTGAGATATTGGAAGTGCCTTTTCGTTTAGATTCTCGGTACCGGGAAGCTGTCCGTAGATCACTTCCGCATTATTGTCCAGATGAGGATCATGACTCACGTGGGGCACATGAGGAGCCGCCAGCGCCCCATAAAGACCAAGGAAAAGTACCAGAAACTGCATCAAAAGCATTTGAATGCAACGCAGTTGCATTGGTGCATGTATGTTATGCAAAATTTTCATAGAAAACAATTATGTAAATAAGCATAAGCTTTCTGTTCAATTAAAATAAATAAATATCCTAAAAGAGTATCACTTTTAACGACTATAAAAACTACCTCTAAATTTTAAAACGTCATATTTGAAGTACATACATAAAGCAATTATAAGTAAACCTTCACTTTATGGGTTGATAGAGAAAGGTTCTAAATTTTTTAACTTACAATTTAAGACCTTGTAATATCAATCGTACAGATTGTACGTCAAAAATTTTTGCTTCAAGTTGGAATGATTCCTATAGTTGAGGATTAATTTTAATTGCAAGTATATTAAGAATTTTAATCACGATCGTATGTGTGAATACAACAAACTGCAACCTTAGACACCAGATGATCTTACTTTCTTTCTTTCTTTCTAATTTAATTTAGGGGGGGATTATTAGCGTTTCAAAATGATTGTGTTGAAACCGAATGTTATTGGCTCGCAATTATATCTGAAATAAATTAATTTAAAAAGAATATATAATATATTATTTGTAACATCTAAAAAATTTGATCGGTCTTGGCATTCTTTATCATATTTAATTGCAAGTTTGTTGAACACGGAAACCAATTCTTTATATAAATCTTAAATTCTAATATTTTTTAAATTGTAATTAAAATGAAACGCTTTTGGCAATTTTATCGTCTATAATTAAGTAACAAAATTATATTGTTCATTTAAATTAATTAATAAATTTAAAAAAATCTTATTTTATAATAAGAAATTAAATAAACGCAAAATATCTAGATTTCAAAATTGTTTACACTGCGCTCGCTCAGTTAATGGTGCGCGAAAAAAAGTAGAAAGTTCTACCGCAAAAAAATCACACATGCGAAATTTATTTTTTTAACGTAGCGTATACACGGGATTTACGCAAAATTAATTCAAAAGTCACCGAGGGATCTACGCGGAGATAAATGTCTCGCTTGGCGACGCAACTGCTAATTTATTACTTTTTATTGCGTCGCGGAAATACATAAAACTGTGCGATTTCACCAACAGTGCGGTGGAAATCACTTGGAGAGTGAATTCGTCAGGGAATCTCCCATGAAAATTTAAAGCGAACGACGATTTGACGCGACATTTGCAGGTAGATAGATAGAAATACGTATGAAATCTCCAACACCCTTGCTATTTCATATAGATACGATCTTGGGCTCCACTTCACTTGACCCAAATCGCGACCAGGTTAAAGGATAACCTACTTTCTCGTGATTGACTATAGAAATTCTTCGAACAAGACAAAGTTATTTTTGTATTGAATGAAAAAGATTTTCTCTGATTGCGAGAACAGTTTATTGAAAAAGGTGCTCACATCTCGGTAAAATTAATTGCTAATTTTAATGTCCAAGGAATCATTTCACACAAACAATTTTTTCACTGTCTGTGTCACACAATTTATATTATATCTACAATTTATACATTTCTTTAATCTTTATAAAAATATTAATACATTTTTATTTGCAATTATATATTTATAATTTAACAAGTTGTAAATAACATTCAGCTTATTTTGTTTTTAAGTTAAATTCTCTAAAATAAAAGTTAAAATATATTTGAGAGAATTCTACTTTTTTATTTTTAATTTATATTTTCAATTTATATATCGTAAATATCTTGTTGATAAGATCATTTGCAATAAAATATCAACCTAATTCTCCTAAATGAATATTTTAATAATATTTTACAAATAATTTTATCCCAATTTTTCTCAATTGTCAACTTTTCAAGCATCTTTGTCGTAATACAATCTTTTTTAAAAATATTCCAACATTATTAATTATTAATTATTAATGATCTAATCATACATTGTTAATTATCTTTATGATTAACTTCTTCTTTGCTTTTAGCAGCAGATTTATAATTAAATTTCATAGTTAAAATTAGGCAAACAGAGAACCTACACAATTACATTAACCATTCACGTAATTTTAATCGTTTATTAATTAATGAAATCCAATTACAAATCTTGTTACTAATAGTGAGGCAAAAATAACTAATTAAGCAAAAATAACTAATTAAAAAGGTCAGGATTGCTAGACGTTCTCTTCTCGAAAATATTTCTTAAAAAAAGAAAGTTTAACAACAATAAAATTTAAATAAAGATGTAAATGTATAAATTATTATAAAAGTATGCGTCTATATCCACATTCGAGTCCTAGTTTAACTAACTTATTATGAAACTAACTTTTTATGAAAGAAACCTAATATGAAAGAAGCTCTTTTTACTTTCTTCAAATTTCATTAAGAAAACGAGTAAATAATAATATCCCTACATAAAAACTTAATAATAACTTCGAAATGCAGTAACGGATCATTATGGCATAATCAGTTACGTCATCGCGACAAAGGTCAAAAGCAATTTAATACTAAAGCATTTAGTCGAGCATTCTAGCATTCTAATCGAATCAATTGTCAAGATGAACTTTTATACACGACACTTTTTATATTATAAATCTTGCATAACTCCTATTGCATGAATAACCTGTTGATTTCGTCAAATCTCACATCCGAGGAAAATTAAGACAATGGGAATTTTGGCGAGGAAATTTTCACTTTTCTCGAGAAGAATGACGCGATTAATTTAGCTGACATGTGAATTATGCGTCACTATCACGGAAAACACGTTACGCGTTTTTTTTTTAAATATTTCTTGTCACAGCATTTCTGATTTCCTCTTACCTCGATCATGTTCGCTCGATGCGCAGCGCCCAACTATCTGCGAGGCTGCCACGATGACACTTTTATATGAGTATATGTACATGTGTGTGGGCACCGGTCTTACCGCAATGAATCGACGTTTTATTTTCGTGAGTCAAACGATGGCGATTCCCCGGAGGCAAAATTTCTTTTCGAATTATTTTTTCTTTTCTTTCTACTAAAGTTGTTACTCTCAACAGCCGTCAACCTCCTTCTATTTGCAATGGCATAGATTTCTAATTCTTTCAGGTTTTTTTTTAACGTAGAAAGAATGGTTATAAAAATATCTATTGATACGAGTTTTAATCGTAAAAAATTAAACAAAGTGTTTTCTTTGTATATAACGTTAGATAAAATATATCTAATATTTTTTAAAGTAGCATCGGCTATAACACATCTTTTTGCATATATTAATGTTTTAAAAGATTTTTCTTATATTTCTATAGATAGATTAATCATAATCGAATATAATATTTAAAAATTTATTATTATCACAATTAAACAATTGCTATTATTATTTGCAAAGCTTTAGAATCTTTAGATGATCTTTCACATGTGAATTGTTTGTAAAATCAATCTACCTATATAATTCCATGTTTTCGCGAGAACAAAAATAAGCCAAAGTGCAGCGCCCACGATATGAAAAGCCTTGAATTTTCGGACAGAAATCGACGTTCCTTGGATTGAACATTGTTAACATCTGGGCAATGCGATATACTACCTGTCTTGGAAAATTCGTTGTTCCGACATTGTAATAAAACATATGCATGGATTATAGATATAAATCCATGGATTATACCATTACAATAGCAACACGGTAATAATATTCTGAACATACAATATCCAATAATTATTATTTAATTGCAGAACATCCACTGGATCAGCTTTGTTAACATAATTATAATTATTATAGAGAGAAGAGTCAGTCTTATTCCCCTGAACTTTTGACAAATTTAGATCAATGCAAATACATGAAAATGATGTTCCTTCTCTTTTACAAATTTATTTATTTAGTGAACTAAAATATATAAAATTTAATATCTTCAAATTATTCTCGAAATTTCATTCCCGGAAATTACCTAATAAGAATAATTAAATAGCATTAAATTGACGTATGATGTATCCGCAAATACTGTTCTGTGAAAAAATATAAAAGAAATATTAATTTTCGTTTTTTAAACAAAAATTTTTTTTCATGAAGCGAAATAAACGTTATTAACGTTGTTTGAAGTTAAAACTCTTATTAATTACTATCATTAAAAATCATTCATAAACTTATTAAATCATTCTTTTGTAAACCATAATGAAAAAGCAATTTTATAAAATTGTTGAAATGCACCGATTGGCGCGCAAACAGTTCCGCGTATATAAATATTATCTTCCAAGATGAGAGTAAGTTTTGTAGTAGTCTAAGGCGACATTTATTTATTGAAAATTGTCCAATGGGTTTTATCCAATAGTCAATGTACGCACGTCACGCATTCGCAAAATTACTTGGTGACTCGAAATTACTGCAACGTTTTATTCCTCTACTGCTATTTACGTTAAAGGTTTTTTTTACAATATCAGATATCCTAAAAAATGCTCAACGAGTGCTGGATATCTTTTTTTAAAAATACTTTTGTTATTTTATAAAATCTATTTTTATAATGACACAATTCATAGCTTCAATTTTCGATTATATGAACGAATTTATGTTATCTAAGTTTCAATTGTAACTACTTACTTTTTCATTTTATGCAAATAAGATGAATATTGTTCATAAAACTGAAATACAGCTAATCAATGCCTTTAGCCTATAGATCAATACCTTTACTAATACTAACGGATATTAATAATTAAAAGAAAACAGAAAGAATCTCATCGGAGTATAACGACCGAGCTTATTCGTTTTTTTTTAATAAACACTGTATAGTCAAGAAAATTATCTCTATCTCATAAAGGTGTCAGCTTTCTCTACCTGCTTCATTTCCCTCGATACTTAAAACGGATAAAGCTACAGCGCAGTGAATGACGCTACGCCGATGTGACGAGGGAATACCTTGTGACATCACGTGCAACCAAGTAAGCTCATCAAAGGTCGTATGACGTCATGAAGCCCTATTCCACTCGATCGACATATTATAGGTTTAGCTGTATAAGGTCCATGCGCGAGCATGATGACGTCATTGAATTCTATTCTGTTCCGTCAAGAGAGCACGCTCGATAATGGTTTTTCTGACGTTCTCCAAGCCTACGCGTGCCTGTACAATGCCATATCGTAATAGCAACATAGGAAAATTACATTATAAAGAAATTGAGACGTAAAAATAGGGATCATGACGCAAATAAAATATATCGAATTCACTCATGTTACGTTTTATATAATTTAACTATTATAATCATTTTGTATGAAACGATGTGATTGAAATTAAGAGATTCTTTCATAAAAAGATTAATATAATTTCTCCCATAAAATATTACATTATTGTATTATATCATGAGATTATTTATTATATATAAAATTATTTTAATAGGTTTTAGTATCTATTAAATATTATTAAATAGTAAATAAGTGGTCAAATGTAACGATATGTTGTGTAACTACTATAATTATTATATAAAATTCTTAGAGAGCAAAGGTAATTTATACTCTTTATATATGTTCTAGAAATATTATTTTTATTATTTATATGTCAAGAAAATAAATAATAGCATAAAGGAACAATGCTGACCTTCGGCAAGAATTTCTGAGAAGGTGAAAATCTATATAAATACAATTCAAATAGTTTTGAAATGTCTTTCCTCGACGTTACACGCTTTCCATAATTCTTGTTGAAATTGATAGCTTTTCACATTATTATTTAAATAGCATGTATATATAATATTTTATTTCACTTATACTTAATATTTTAATGGAAAATTGAAATAGTTTAGCTATTTTTCAATTTCCTTAAAAATATTAAAATTAATTAAAATTATATTTTAGACAGTGAAGCAGCGGTTTACTGTTCAAATAAGTTGCAAAAAATAAATCTCAAGAAAATAAATCTCGGAACGAAACAAAAGAAACATCTTTATGATTCATGTAAGTTATATTATATGTGATTTTCATTTCTGTTAATATTATAAAAATACAAATTAATATACAATTTTATTTTAAATTCTCTACCAATAAGTTAATATATCAAAATATAATTATAATTATAGAAAGACAGTTACAAAATACGTATTGCTTCTTGATTATAATATAGTCATATAATATGATTTTGACGCTTATAATATTTCTTAATAGAATAATATCGCCAAATATGAATCATGATACGAAAAGTCGTAACAATAAAGATATGCGAAGAAGATCGGCATTGTCATTCATTGGTGGAGATGGTTCACTTGATATAGATCATGTTTTACAATCCGAACCTTGGAAAAATATTGAAAAATTTAAAAATAGCGAGGCTGGTTGTATTCAGACAATACTAGATAATTTCGTCGAAACAATTACACAAAAGAACACCATTGAAGCTAAAGAGGGATTCTTAAAGTTTATTAAAGGTAAAAAAAAGCAAAATTTTATTAAAACCTATTATTATTTTTAAAAATTTGTTCGATTTCTCATTATAAATCATTTTTCATTTATTTTAAATCAATTTTCTCCTTTATATAATCTGATAGTATAATTATAATAGTATAATTATAAATATTTAGAATGTTTTGTAATATATATAAAATAGGAATAATTATAAAAACCGTTAGAGATAACATCTTCCTTTATAATAATATAATCAAGAGATATACATTTAATTAAAATAAATAATAAATAAGATAAATAAAATAAATGAATAGGCGATATTCCTGCGAAGAAAAGTCCGAAATCTACAAAAGGCTCAACGAAGTCTCCAATAAAGGATTTACCTGGGACTTCATCAAGTACTAATAGCAACATCGTTGAAACAAATACTATAGTAAATAAGAACAAAACGTTAAAGAGACAAAATCGGTGTGAGATGGAAATGCAAAAACTCTCATCTGATGATGTAAAAGAAAAAATCCAAAACATTTCAGAAGCCAACGTCAAGGAAAATATCGATTCAAATAAAAAAATGACTAAGAAAAGGATCTTGCAGGATGTAACGAATATAACGAATATAACAGAAGAAAATCTACACACAAGCACTCCTAAAAAAATAAAAAAGACGGTAAAAAAGAAAGAATCAACAGCAGAAAATAAAAAACCAAAAACGGAAAAGTCGAAAAATAAATCAGGGAAAAATATTCAGCACAAAGAGATAGAGAAAAAATCGAAGAACACGAAAGAGCAAGCCAAAAGTAAATAGAACATTGATTATATTTCTCACAATTTTCATATATTTGGATAATTATTTTTGATAACAAAAATACATTATTTTTCAGGTAGCACAAATATTCTTGAAGAAACACCAAATGTAAAGTTGAAAAATAATTTGGAGAAAATAATTCCGCAGGAACTCTTACATAATACCGATAATGTAAAAGAAGAAACTAAAAAATCTTCCAAAGACACCACCAAGAAGAATGTCAATTCAGATAAAAAAATTAAAAAAATCGTGCAGGACAAAGCAAACACTGAAAAAGATTTGCAAACAAGCACTTCTAAAAAAGAAGCATCTAAAATAAGAAAAAAGAAGGTGATAAAGGAAAAATCAACGGCAGAAAATAAAAAATCAAAAACGGAAAATTCAGAAAATAAATCAAAGAAAAATGTTCAACGCAAAAAAATACAGAAAAAATCGAAGAGTACGAAAGAGCAAGCCAAAAGTATATAAAACATTGATTATATTTTTCATAACTCTTACATACATCTTGGATGATTCTTGAGAATAAAAATACAATATATTATTTTTCAGGTAGCGCAAATATGCTTGAAAAAGAAAAAAAGATGAATGTAAATTTAAAAAATAATTTGGAGTGCAACAAAGTGAATCAAAATTCGTCGAAAGATAAAGTAAAGAATAAAAAAGTGAAATGTAAGTATAAAAAAAATCTTTAAAATACATATCTTTTCTTCTTAACTACTTAACTATTAATAATTAAATTTTTTTTAGTTTTTGCGACACTTCTTAGCGAAATGGAGAACAAAGTAACAGAAATTAATAATAATATGGAGAAGGATGCTAAATCTAAAGAATTCAGTATGATACTAAAACATAATTCTTGTAACAAGGGAAATTTTTAACTTGCTTTAATAATTAATTATATATTTTCTAGATAAAAACATATCTAATCAATTAAATGGAAAGAATCTGAAGAAAGAAAATCCCGAGAACAAGTTGCAAGGAAGCGCCCGGAAGTTATGTATATCATCCCTTAAATCGTCGCAGATAAATAACACGGAAAACACAAAATGTCAATGCGAAAGTAAGAAGAATATCTAAGATATATATATCTCTATATACATATATTTACGCACATAGTCTATCGACAAAAATTATTTTCAATAAATTTACGTCAAATAATAATTACTTTCCAGAAAATTCCACAAAATGTTCTGATAATCAGTGTTCTTTGAAAGCAAAAGAAGATGAAAAGAAGAAACAACGTAAAAAGAGTCTAAAAGCAGCGAAAGCTATCGAAGGTCTTAGCCGACGTATAACAGTCGTCAAAAGAAAAATGGAATGCATTAAAAATGATTTAGGTAAAATTTGTTGTTAAATGCATGTCATTTCAAAAAATTCTTTGTTTTCAAAAAATTCATCGAATTTTGTCATGACATTAAATATTATGTGCGCAATTAATCCTCGTCATCACACTTAAGACTTTACTAAAAGTTCACTTCTCGTGTTGGACAGTTTGATAAATTCTACTGAGAATTTGCACGCGAGAGTACGCACTCATGTCCTAAATACAATATTTCCGGAACTGATCTCTTGTTTTTTTTCTTTCTTTCAGAAAGCAACAAATCGTCGGAATTTGATAGTTTTATTAAAGAGCCATCATACTCGTCATTATCAACGTTTTCATCTTCATCATACTCATCATATTCCTCATCATATACCTGTTCGTGCAGTTGCTGTTCATGTGATTCCTGTTCATGTTACGATACGAGCGAATACTCAAGTGTTTTTTCGACTTCTAGTGGGAGTAGCGAAACCAATAGTGAAACTGAGACTAGTGAAACAGAAAATTAATTATATATTGAAGCAAATTAGAATGATTATATATGATTTCAATTTTGTGTACATGTTCCTCTAACATTCCATTATAAAGAATATTGAAATGTTAGAGAAAATTACACACAAGTTAAAATCAAAATTCTATTTTAACAAAAGTCAAAGTTCTATTTTTATTATTATAATTAATATATAATTAATATAATTAAGAAATTTGGTTATTTATGTATGCATATTTTATCTTTTATTTAATTTTATTTAATTTTATTTTTTTGTTATTTATTATGTATTAGCTACTATAATTGTGTACCTTCCTAATTCATTTGAACTGCTTGAATTTAGAAAATGTTTATTATTTTTAGCAAGATTTTTAACAATACAATCAAATCGGAAAATAATATTTAAAATAACGTTTAGATATTTTGGCGCGATTAACTAAGAGAAATTATATGATACTTAAAATAAATTATATGTAATGTAATTATTGTAATCGTAAAAGATTTTATGAATTTTATTTAAAGAATTTTATGAATTAATAAAGGAGAAAAAAGAAATCTTAAAACAATTTATTGGAATATTTGATGATCTCCAACGAATAACAAGTATACACGATTCTCATGGATATAAATATTTCATTAAATATTTCACGAAGCCGTTTTGATCACGTCAATCAATCAAATCATATCATTACCAAATGATGGGATGAAATCCCATCCAATATTTTGCGTTTTTTTATTTCATGATACAAGTTATAAATATATTAATATACTATACAATCTACACAAATTTCTATTTCTAATATACTTTTCCATTTTAAACATGTGTTCTAATATACTGCGAGTTCTGTTGGAAGATTTGTATAATGTATGTTATTAATCTAATGTATTGAATTTTATTAACAACAATCAAAATCACTTTTTATTGCTAATTATTCATAACTGGAAAGCTTTTGGTTTCGTCGATATTTTTGCTTAAGACAAATGCTTCCGAATTTATAACATGCATTATTAGCATATGAAGCATGAACATAAATTTGAAGGTACTCCTTATACAATATAAACGATTCATAAATGACCTTTGAATGGGAGCAACAAACACATATATAGCATATTTGATTGGATGCATTAAAATAATGCATGCATCGCGATTCTTAAATTAGTCATCGTCGCCTCTTTATCGTGTTGTTACTATTCGTAGCATTTCGACACCTGCTTCATGCGCTGCCGTGCTTTTTTCTTAAGTACTAACTGAAAACAGAGAAGTCTAAAAATAGGCGGTTTGACGCACGTTGCGATGTTAAGGTAAGTAAGCAACATGAACCGTATGTTTGCTTCTTTCCCTCGAACGATAATCTTCGGCGCCGTTTGTCATTCGCCGCAAATGTAAAACAGTTACTGCGCAATTAAGGAAGTACTGAGTTCTGCACGAGTTTACCTCAACTTCATAGAACGGGATCCTCTTATAAACAGAAAAGAATCCTCTTATAAACAATCAAGATTGGATACCACTGACATTTTAAAACAAAAATACTATCTATATCATATGGAAATATGGAAGTTAATCAGAATTATAAAATAAATAAAGTATTTTCCTATTTTCTATATCTTTGCGGTAAGAATAAAATTCTTCACTTTTTCTATTATTTATTATTTTTTTCTTGCCATGTGTTTAAAAAATAGTATAATCATAATGTTCTATTTGCTCGAAAAATAAATTACAAAATAGCTTAATAAAAACTAACAGTCTAATTAGTTGTCAAAGTTACAATTAACTTGTCGATAAATATAAATGGAAAAAATGAATAAACTGAAAAAGCAATAATCAAAGATACTAGAAAGAGAAAAGTTTGATATCAAAGTACAATACTTTCGCAGAATCGCAATTTTTCCTCAATAGTGACGCGATGTATGTCATGTATATTTTTGTTTATTACAGCTGCGACATTTATTAATATCTATGAAAACAGCGACAAAAATAAAAGCATCCTTAAGCGCCCATCCTATTAAACCAAGCCATTTATTAAATCAAGTCAAAGTTAAATCAACTTTTTGAATTAGCGGAAATCTTTTAGAATTTCATTGTTACAAAATCTCTTAGAATCTTCAGTTGCAATAGTATAAAGGAAGTAATCTGGTAATCACTAAAATCCAAACGTCAAAAGTCATAATATACTTTACAAAGCAGGAAACTGTTTACACTAAAGCTCTTTATTAAATATATTGAATTAAATATACTAAACTACATTGCTCCAAAAAATTAAAATTATCTATTATACCTTTCTAAAATAATTCAATTCCGATCATTTATCAATTTCAAAGATAATCATAATAGATAATCATAGAATAACTTAAAAGGATTCTAAAACAATATACATGATAAATATAAATTAAAGAAAAAACTTAGACTTTTCTATTTAGACTTTTCTATTTTTAATAAATACCAAATGCTATTCCGTTCGTTTTCTGTGCTTTAATGTAAAATAACTCGGTAAAAAAAAATTGCACAACAATCAACAAATACATAAATTAAAAATAAAAATTTATTCTTTCAAAAATTGTAAATTGCATTTATGTGCATTTTAATTCACGTCATTAACTTTGCCAAGTTCATAAAAAATTTCGAGAGATGAATCCAAGACAGATCTCCATTCGTGTAGCTTTATACAAAATCAGATCATTATCTAAAGTACCGATCTGGAAAGTTAGAGATTTCAGGCTTTAAAATGCCTTTTGAATCATTTGCTTATGATTATTATTGACGAAGTTGCACTCTTTTGAAAATTATTTATTTTTAAAGGGCAGATAGATAATCCCTTAATCTTTCAACATAGAGTATATTTTATATATTATAAATTATAATATTCCGTCAAAATTTCATTTTAAGAGAAATCGATAGCAAATTCAGTTAGAAGATAACAAAAATATAAGAAAAAACAAGAAATATAAGAAAACATACGCAAGGATAAAGAAGATCTCAAAATCCGAATATGCCAGTTTGCGATAAAAATCTCGTGGTTCTCCAATATAGATGTTTCGTCAACAGCGTTCCGCGAAACCATTGACTCGATAATTATATACCTACTCTCAATTCGGTCGCCAGTGACACTCCGCGAGAGTTCTCTTGTTCTTCTTCTTGCGCAGCTCTTTTTACTCGTAAATTGCGTCATTATTGTGTACGTGTACGCGACAATCTGAATTGCTCTCATCTCGCGAATCCCACATGTGGGCGACATCGATATGTATCTGTATATTTGTTTTCGCGTAGGTGGACTATATTCACAAACTCGTATCGAAGGTAAATTCTCTTCGACACAACTTTTCCCTTATATACTTTTCTTCTTTTCTTTCCTTCTCCCTCGTTTTTTATTCTCTTTTCATCCTCTGTCCTGATTCGCTTTCTAGTCAATATTCAGCATTCGAAGAACTCCTCGCATTACATCTGCCTTGATGTCTCGTGTATGTACCATTGTTTACCCAACGTTGACATAAAATAGATTTTTACCGAGAATAGCTTAAGCTGGATTTAATAAGATGTATAAAGCTGGATGTGAATTATTTTAGTACCTTTCCCGCAAACTTCCAAATATAATTAGATGATAAAATTTGTACTCGCGAAAGTATAATTGTGGAAGAAGTCTTCTATGAATGATAAATGTTCTTAAAGTTCAGTGGCTGCTTGGCAAGCGCACGAGACTAATGTTGTACGATTAGTCAGTTGCTTCATAAAATAGACAATAGCTGCATCCGCGAAAATCTAATTATAGTATAAAGAAGACGCTACCGCGAAGCAAGATCCATCGATTACGTCAGACATTTACAGGCTTACTTCTTGTTGCTAATAAAAGTCAGATTATCTCGGGATTTCCATATCTATAAATCAACTCTGTTATTCTGCTTGCTGTCCCACAGGATTTGTACTCATTATTAGATACATATGTATATATGCAGATGCAAGTTTGATGACACCGGATATTTCCGTGCATCCTAGGTTCTGATTCTCGAAATTTGACCGACGTCAAAATCTTTCGCGTGATTTACGAATTAGGGGAAATGAGCCGATAACTCGCTATGATTACACAATAATTTGTGCTTGTAATAATTTTTTATTTCCATTGCGCGACCGTTTCTCCTATTTATATCTTTAATATCCGGCTGTACAGTTGAACATCTCTATGGACTCTCCGTATACTTGACATACATTTTAAAAATACTTTCAGGTGTAAATTCGGATATACGACGAATGCGTAATCTGTATTATTTAACAACGTGATGAATTTAAAACAACTTATATTGATTGAAACATATCCGCAAGAGGCAGATATGAAATTTGTAATAAATCCGGGACATTTCAATTATTTTACATTTAGATATAAATAGAAATAATTAAAACTTTCTAAAATTACAATATGATAAATGCATACAATAATAAATTATAAATCATTAAAAGTGCAGAAGTCGATCACGTGATGCCTCTCTTATTTGGCTTTATATTCATGGAAGCTGGAATATTAAACTGGCGGCGGAAAGTCAATAAATTCACTTTAAGTCGGTTCGTGTCAATAATCCATTCGTGCAGGTACAAAAATATACTTTGCAAATTCGACTGATACCAAAATGGTTTTATGCTTGCAAGATTCACAGCCAGGCAGACAATAAAGAGTGACTTGAAAGAATAAAAAACGGATATTCTCTCCTTATTAATCAGTAAGAAAAAAATTTATTATTATACGTCATTCCCTAATTTCTATATGTATCTCTAAAGTTTATTGTCGCTGAATTCATAGGGTCCGGCAAATACGTTAGGATTTATGCCGCAGAAGAAGAGATTACCTTCATATTAGATTAATATTGAATTATGATTTCACCTTTTCACTATTAATATTAATGAAATTATTGTAAGTTAAATCAATTTGTCATTGTAATAAATAGCGCCATCATACATTATAATCTATATAAAATGATTACTGTAGGACGTGTAAAAGACTTAACGATTATTTCGTAATACATATGTATAGAGGATATAATAAAGCATGTTGTATAGCAAACAACATACAGCATACAAGTGCTTTGCTTTCGTATTCTTTGTTTAGTTTGTTATCTTATATCCCACCTGTTATGTTATATCCCACCTGTTTGGGGCATTTTTAGCGGACGGAATTTATGCCCAAAACATACGAAGTGCGCAGAATTCAGTGCACTAAATGCAATGAACGCATTACATGAAACATGCACCTCATATCATAACACTTGTATATATATATATATATATATA